TCCCAGCTCTCACTGTCATCCTCTGATGTTTATCATAAAAGGAACTTAAGTTAGCAAAGCCTTTCCATTGCCAGCCCGGGCCAGGTAGCTCAGTTGGTTAGAGCAATGACCCAATACACCAAGGTTGCTGGTTTGATCCCCAGTCAGGGCACATACAAGAATCAACCAATGAATGCATGCGTAAGTGGAACAACAAATCGATGTCTCGCATGTTTTCTCCCCCTCTCCCATCTTTTTCCTCTCTCAAATTAATCAATTTAAAAAAATCTTCAAAAAACTTTTCTATCACCTTATTACTAATTCTGATTCCACATCCAGAAAGAGAGGAATGGTTATTTCTCAGGTCCTCTTAACACAAACAAGACAATAGCTCAAATTCCTAAGAGACTTGCCAAATTTCTATGTTGAGATGTCATACAAGTCCAAAGATCTAATGTTCCTAAGAAGAAAAAAGGGATGTCCTGGTCAATGGGGCTCAGTGGTTGAGTGCTGGCCTGCAAACCAAAGGGTCACCGGTTCGATTCTCAGTCAGGACACATGCCTGGGTTGCGGGCCAGGTCCCCAGCAGGGAATGCGTGAGAGGCAACCACACATTGATGTTTCTCTCACTCTCTTCCTCCCTCCCTTTCCCTCTCTAAATATAAATAAATAAAATCTGTTTTAAAAAGGAAAAAGGGATTCACAGAACCTAAAGATGATGAAGAAGAATTAGTCAATAAATAACTAAGGCCACCAAGAACAGGATGAAAAGTATTAATAATAGTGAATTTTAATGCATACTAATACCAAAATCTGATTGCAGAACTCTTCACATACATTATAACATTTAAGTCCAGCAACAGCCCCATTTTAAAGATGAAGAATGCGAGTCTTGGAGGTTAAGTGATTTATTTAAAATCACTGGTAGTTACTGGCACAGTTAAAATTAAACCTAACCCGTTTAAACCTTGACTTTTACTCACTAAAATAAACTACTTAAATCACAATTAATAGAAGAGTTTCAATAATAAAACACTTTAAAATAAAGAGATGTCTACTATTACAAATTTGTGTTTCGATAAAAAATACTGTTATGTGAACTTTCCAAATTGAGGTTTTCAGTGAGACCCCCCACAAAAGGCAGAGGGCACACACTCCGGAAACGTGTGACACAGAACGCCCGCCACAGTGTCATCTGGAAGAGGGAAGGACCCGTGACAATGCACACAGGCGGTGGCATCTGTAGGCTGAAAGCAATTTGATTTAACTTTGAAGAACAAAAGCTTATTCTTCTAAGCAGAAACCAAAACACATTTTCTCTGGAAAAAAGGAACCATTTTAACCGCATTGCCAAAATAAATCAGGCAGAGGACACGTTAGCTCTGGCTGGCCAGGCCGAGGAGACAGGGCGGGGAGAACAGGGCGAGGAGGGGTGCCAGTGAATTGATTTTGTTTGTTAAGAAGAGAAGGAAAGAGGGAGAAACCCTGCCCCGGCCTCCACACCGCTGTGTTCAGAACACTAAGTCCAGTTTCTAGTATCAACCGCCTCACCAAAAACGAGAAACCTAACCAGTGAGTAGATATATTCTGGATATCTGAATCAAGTCTACAGTAAAACAAGGTACTACAGTAAAAACATTTTGGCCAAAAATTCAAATTTAAACAAAGATATTTTTCAGGAAAAAAAACACAACTCTAAACTCTGTATTAGATAGTACAAGAAACACATAATGTTCCCATCCTCAGGCAAATCCTTCCCTTCAGTCCAGAACCAGAGGTTTGGGCCTAGGAGGGCAAGTTTCAGGATCTCTCCACTCAAAAAATCAAGCCATGTTAAATATCCTAAATGTATTCTTTCTGGGGATGAGAAATAAATATAAAAAAAAGCAAAAAAATTGATACATACATACATGTTTTTAAAGATCAATCACTGTCCCTTCCCCACTTTTCAGAGTCCGTTCTCCCCTGGGGTCACCAGACATGGCCCCTCAACAGGTCCCAGCCCCGGCAGACTGACCGCGGGACCTGCTTTCGCTGGACCAGGCTGAGTGGCGAAGTCTGCGGTTCCAGAAGCCAGGCTTGGAGTCGAAACCCCACCACAGCCTTGCTGGGAACTCTGAACAAGTTCTTTTACCATTATTCACCTGCAAAATGGGTACTGAGTAGCACCTGCCTGTTGTTGGCTTTGTGAGGATGAAATCCGTCAATGTGCAGAACGTGCCTTTCAGAGCACACCAGGTATATGGCAAATAGTCAATAAACGGTAGGTATTAGACTTAATCACTCCATGACACACGAGCATTCATAGTATTCACTCTACTTGTGAGCTTGTTTGAAGATTTCCATAATAAAAATTTTTAATTTTAATTCCAAAGTTGATTCCAAGTGGAAGGCTAGGAAAACGCATCCCCTTCCTGCCTACTCCGCGGGCTGACTTAGACTGCGCGGCACTGCGCGACTACCCTCTGCTGAGAGCCAGCTGCGGACCACACACTCTCTGGGCGCTGGCCCTCGTCAGTAAAGTTCACATTCCAGGGAACGGGGAAGAGGGCAGTTAAGTACGACTGCCAAGTTGGGGAGCTAGGATATGAGCATACATCTTCTGATGCAATTCAATGCTCTCTCACAAAATCCTGGTGGTTTGCAGGAAATATCAAAGTTAAAACGGTTAAATGTGGTCAGAACTTCAGAGGATGAGATCAAATTCCTGCAGTCAGATACGGGCAGAATTTGGAACAAGAAAACCAGCTGAGCTACCCTAATTCTTTCAACCTCCCCACACCTTGAGGTCCTCCTCCAGGCAGCAGCACAAACCAGGCCCGGGGACCTGAGCGAGGCTCTAATCGGGCTGAGGTGCATTTCCGCGTGGTCTGCGCCAGCTCTCAGCATACGGTCAGGCTGAAGGTTCACATGCAGACTCTCCCTGCAACCCATGCTCCCTTTGCTGCTAAACTGGCTGGGCCTTCCTCACCCAAGGAATGGCCAGACGCCTCTCTTCCCAGCCAGGGAGGTAACTCCTTGTGACTTCAATCAGAATGTTTCTCTGGTTCACTGAAGTCACTCGGGATTTCAGGTCTAACATCTGAGCCACCACCTACTCTGTCCAATAAAACTTTCTGCAATAATGGAAACGTTCCGCGTCTGCACTGCCCTGTGTGGCACACCCTAAATTTTTAATTTTAATTAACTTGAATTTAAGGAGCCACAGCCCAGGAGGTATCTAGATCATTGGTGGAAACATTCCTCATTCATGGGTCTAGGGCTGTGTCTTCATGAGCACCCTAGGGTGGCAGGACAGCTGGTCTTATAACCAGAGACCCAGGTTCACATCAGCTCCTCTTCCCAGCTCTACGCCCCTGAGCGTGCAGCCTATCACTTCTATTCATTGGTTTCTTGTCTGTAAAACTGAGATGCTCGTATCCACCCCATTGGGAGATGTTTATAATGGAAACATGTGAGATACATACCACATGTCCAGAAGACAAGAACACTGAGCTCCTTTCATTATTATCTTCATCATCCTCCTCCTTTTCCTAAATTCCTCCTGGTTGCTTTCCCAAGGCACCAGTAACTGGCTGAGAAGCCAAAGACAGATTTCTGCGCTGTTTCCCGTCTTTAAAGGAAGTCCCTATTCAGCTCCGAAACTCAGGGGAAGAAGCAGACCCCCACCCCCACCCCTGCCAAGGCAAGACTGTAAGAACCAGCACTGGGAAGTGCTCAGAGGCCCTGTGTCTACAGAACTTAGGAGCAACCCTTCCAGGTTACTTCCAGGCCACCCCCAGCCCCCTGGAGCCTGGGCAGATTACCAGGCTTCACTCAAAAGCCACTTCCTTCCCCTTCTCAGCCACACCAACCAAAAGTGAATGAACAAATAATAATCAACAGCCCTGACTGAGCATTTCCTATGTGCCGGGCCCTGGGCTCACGTGTTATTTCACAGAAATCTCACTGCCACCCTGAGGCAGGTAACATCATTTCCGTTTTCCAGTGCGGTAAGTGAGGCATAAAAACGCCAAGTACCTTGCCCAGATCCCAATGCTAGTGACTGAAAAACTTCGAAAACTGGGATTTGAACCTGGCTGCCTGACTCCACCAGTCCACTCCCCCATGTCCCACCCGCCCTCCCTTTGCCTTAGTGTTCAGGCCTAAATCACAGCTTCTGGAACATGACCTTGACTGTGTCCTCACAGTCACCCCTTCTTGTAGAATAAGAAAACAAAAAGGATGAATGCTACTCAAAGCAGAAAAGAAAGGAAAGAGTAAGGTAAAAGCTAAGCTAATATCAAATTATTACGGGCATTTTTTTAAAGCAATAGCTCCCAAAATTAAAATTGCCAAACCAAGAAGCTTTTACTTTTGTTTTTAAATTGAAACAGGAGGAATACTGCTTCAAAAATATTTGGTGGAAGGAGTAGTATTCCTACCTGGAGCATTTTAGAACAACGACACGTTAAAAAAAAAAAACTGGTTTCCAACTCAATTAATGGAAGAAGCTTGCCCTAGCCTCTTAAAAATCATGATTTACCTAGAAATGATTAAACGTTTATACTTCACTTGTCCTGCCTTATTTTTTAAAGGAAATTGAATATGCTGTTAATGTTTAAAAACCTATGGTGATTTCACATTTAATAAGTCCAGGGTCCCACCTTCCTTTTTTGCATAAGATCTAGCAACATTAAGTGCCTTCTGCCTTGTGGCAATGTAAACTCATAGATGGGTTATGTGATTTCTGGTTCGCTGTAAGCCCCACCACTCACATTGCCTCATAAGTAGTCCTCTCTCCTCTGCATCATGCAGGCCAAGCCCCTGGAGGCAACGAAGTTGGCAGCCTCTTTATAAGAACCTCTGGACAGACACGGAATCATATTCAGTCCTCTCCAGTCCAACCAGCTGCCAGAAAGCATCCTCACCTCCCTGCCCAGTCATTCCATCCCCCAGCCCCCGTGCCCAGGAGAGGCTCTCAGTACCCTCTCCTGGCCATGCACTGCCCCACCTCCAATGTCACCCAAACCACAACTCACCTACTCCTCTGTGCCGCTCCGATCTCTCTTCACAGGTGTCGCTGGCACCTCCCCATTAAGGCTTTCGGTCCCACTCATCGACATCAAACTCCTCCGCTCCTTTTGGTTTGACTTGTGCTCCACTTTTGTAACTCTGAACCTGAGGGGGCAAAGAGGAGATCTGAGGGGTTTTGCTTTTCCAGTGAGCAAGGATTAGGAGTGAATCAAAAATCACCCATGGAGAGGATCCCAAATGAACTCAGCCGAAAATTAGGACGTCGACAGAAAACACGGAGGCAGCAGGAGGGGTTCCTGCCGGCAAATGCCCTGCCCCCTGCCAAACTTCCCAGCTGATTTTCACTCCATACCCCACAGGCTGTGCCGGGTACTTCACACAGCGTGGGAAAGGTATTGCACACGTGGTACTCGGCTGCTCCACAGCCTCGGGGTTGTGGTTTCAGGGATGCGGGCTTTAACATCAGACTGGGCAAAAGCATAACCAGACTAATGGAACGACGTGGCCAAAACGCTCACTCAGACTCCACCTTCGTCAAAGATACACCTGGAGGAGGGTCTGCCACACACACAGCCGGGGGCGTCCTACTATGTATTTCATCAGTATCAGTTGGTAGTAGGGTTTTTTCGTGTCTAGTTTTTGTCTGTTATTTTGGAAAGCAAATTTGGGTTAATTTTCATTGAGAATTAAGGGAAAATAAGGAAATTTAGGAAGAGATTTTCATTCAGGTGAAGAGAGAAGTTAAAGAAATTTACTTAATGTGACTGTTTTTCTAGTCCATCCTCACCAAACCCTGAAGTCTTTCGTAACAGTGTCTCTCCCATTCTGGCCTGAAAGTCCTTTAAAAGTATCTCAAATAAACTCTTCTTTGTCCAAAATGAGATCACCCATCACCATGAAGGCGGAGACTGAGAAAGTGGAAGGAGGATCCAGGAAAGCTGTCACCGGAAAGCTGTTCTGTCGAACCACAACCCTCTCTAAGTAGCATGTGCTGGAAGGCAGCCCCTCGTCGTCCTGCACGGCTGAGAAAGAAGGTGGTATCTGGGGCATTCCGAAGGGCCATGTTGAATCTGAGTTGAAAATTTCAGCAGAAATTTTCTTTGAAGCAAAGAAAACATGCTTTGTCTAAACAAGCTACAGGTTCTCACTGCATTCCACATTCATAAATTCCCATGACTCCGCTTAATAAAGCAGCGCGGTCATGAGATGCGCCGTTTCGCTGGAAGTGGCACACAGCCCAGTGGTCTTCCCTTTGTGGCTTGTGTAACACAGGGAGAAATCCAACTGAATTAAAATAACAACAGCCAGTATTTCCTGAGTGCATTATAAACACCAGCAACTGGCCTGCGTCTGTTACAGCGGTCATCTTATAGAGTCTTCACTGTGACTCAATGAGGTGTTATCGTCATCCCCATTTTATGAAGGGGAAGACCGAGGCACAGAGTTTGTAGTAGTGGCACCAAGACGCAAACGCAGGAGATGCACTGAGTCCAGGAAGCCCTTCCCAGAGTCTGTCAGTACAGAAAGGAGGGTCGTGTACGTGCTACTGCCAGCTTTTGCTCGGTGTTCGCCCAGTCTGGTCCAGCACGCATGCTCGTACCAGATGCAGCGTTAGCAACGCAGTTCCTGTGTGAGGCTCAACCACCCAAACAGCAGACACTGCAAAAATGCTCTCTATGGAGTCAAACTGACTCATGACTTGAACTGAAAGATCTCTTACATCACATGTGGGTCCCAGGTAAATGGTCCTTTGGACAGGGACACCCAGGACGCCGGTGCGGTGAGCTAGAAGGCAGCCACAGGAACCCACGGGGAGCTGTCATGCTACAGACTGGACAGCAGTGGACCAGCTCCACTGCTCTTCTCCCTGGCACATGGCTGGGCATTTCCCAGGGCCTGGCAGGTAGGCATGGCCCAGGGATTGAGCTCCAGACAGTGGAGTGTGAGTGAAATGAAATGTGCCCCTTCTGGGCCCGCCTCACTCCAGCCTCCTGTGAACCACCCTCCGGGCGCTCTCCCCTCCAGCGAGCACGCCTGGCAGAGCCGAGGTGGAAGGAACCTGGGATGCCACAGGACCACTCGAAGAGCCACCCTCTGATCTTTCCATCTCCACACATGAAATGTAAACTTCTACACCCTAAACAGCTGAGATTTGGGCTTCCACTGTTACAGCAAATGTGGTGGTCGGCGTTGTCTGTCAGCTCCACTGGTGACACGTTGTTTCTGGGCGTGTCTGTGAGGGTGTTTCCGGAAGAGATTAGCACTTGAACCCATAGTCTGAGTGAGGTAGATCACCCCCCACCCAACATAGGTGGGCAGCATCCTGGCCCTTGAGGGCCCGAATGCAACAAAAAGGCAGAGGAAGGGTGGATTTGCCCTTTTTGCTGGAGCTGGGACATATGTCTCCTCCTGCCCTCAGGCCTCAGGCTGGGATTGGGACTTACACCATCAGCTCCCCTGGTTCTCAGGCCTTTGGACTTGGACTGAACTACATACACCACCAGCGTTCCTGGGTCCCCAGCTCACAGCCAGCGGATCTCGGGAGCTCTTAGCCTCCATAATCGCATGAGCAATTCTTACAATAAGTCTCCTCTTGCGTGTATCTCTATCTGTCTATCTTGTTGGTTCTGCCTCTCTGGATAACATTAATACACAAAGTAATTAATGTTTTACCTCAATTCATACATCTGACATCTGATCTAGCTATAGCCACCTCTTGGAATTCCTCTGCTGTTGGGAAAATGCAGAACTCAGACCAGAAAGTCCAGACATATGACCTGAGCCCAGCTAAGGAGAGCACACTTTGCATTTCACAGGTCAGTACCCAGCACAGTAACCCACCCAGCACAGCAACCATGTGACACAAACCCAGAGCACCCACAGGACTCTTACCTGCCCACAGAGAGGACGGTGACCTCCCCTTGACGCCTTGGGCGGCCTTCTTTGGACTTGTTGGCAGGTTTTATGAAGTGCCACCGCTTGTGCCTACACCGACTACACACGTCCCTCTCGACAGGACCGCCGACTGTGTGCAGATGGTGGCCACAGATGTGCTTCCCTGGGGTGCCACCTGGTGACAAGGGCCCAGGGCTCACAGGTGGGCTCCCAGGAGTGCTGGGGGTCACAGGGCTAAGGTGGGAAGGAAAAAAAAAGATACAACTGGTTACTTAAAAGTAACACCAGCTAAGGCAATCTCTCCCCCTACCACGAAAGAGGCAGGTTTAAATCAAAAGAAAAATAATGCCTCTTCCAATTACACCAATGGGCTTTGTGAACTGGTTTAGGCAGCAATTACTCAGCTCTTACGACTATGCAATGAGAGCTCATTTTAAACAGCAATAATGTGATTTATCACTTCTAGAGGGGAACTAACTGGATGGATATAAACCGCTGCTACTAATGAAGACGCACTCTTTGTCTTTCAAGCATTAGGTTTCTTTCAAAACAACTACTCTCCATTCTCGTGCAATCATACTAATTTCTCACATAGAGCAAAGTGTGTTTCCTACCTAGAAATCCTACCTAGATTTCTAAGCAAGGAGATGCCCTGGAGGATTTAAATTCCAATCAAATTATCCAATGACTTAAGGAACAATATTTGATCCAATTGACTATCACATCCAAAAAAGAAAGCTTTTAGGTCAATATATGCAAAGTGATGTTCAGTGCTGATAAAGTTGAAAATAGTAATAATAGAAATAGTTAACATAGTATTCTAAGCATTTGACATATGTTAATTTAATTCACTTTACAGAACCTAATGAGGTAGGCATCAATTTCCTCATTTAAAAAATTTGAGGCTCAAAGAAGTTTAATAAATTGCCCAATGTCACATGGCTAATGAGTAATGGGTCTGAGTTACAAATCTAGGAAGTCTAATTCTAGAAACCCTGATCCTAATCATCACATAATGTGTCAGAAACAGGGGCATCACTGTGATAATCTGGAAGAAATCCAGTTAGACCACCAAAAATATTACAAAGCAGAAGTGTACAGGCCAGGGACTGGCTCCTTTCAAAAGGCACATGTCAAGGTGCTGAGCCACTAGAAAAGGAGGAATTAAAACAGGACAGGGCCAGCCTGACAGGGAATCAGCCCCCTGATGTGGGGTAAGTGAGTGCAGGTGGGTATCGATCAGCGAGGAAACCTGTCACGGCGGAGCCTGACACCTGGGACCGTGCCGAGAGCCCCAAAGGTACAGGGGAGCCTCATGACTGCGTAAACCGTGCCCTGCGCTGTGGAACCAGCCTGCTGCACATCAAACAGAAGTGTAGCCCGTGGCTGAAAAGATATTCTCAGATATCCCAGATGACCAACAGCTTCCTGGCACTCTTTAGAGATGCTCTTTATATCATTCAAATAAAAACACACAGCCGCAGCTTTCTGGGGCAAAACCATGTTAAATGAACACTGTATAGTAAAAGGTTGAATTCAAAAGTTCAACAACGCTCATCCAACAAACACATACCAAGTGCCCGCTGGGTGTAAAACCCAAGGAAGACAGTACATGTGGCCCAAAGACGACCGAGGCAAACACACCACGAGCTAGCCCGTCCCGGGCACCAGATGTCTGTGCTCAGGGCTGCAATGTGGCGGGAATCACAGCTCATGTGTCTCTATGAACTACACCACCCGAGCTTCCCAAGCTGACCTTCCTGCCCTGAGTTACCTCGTTAAAGTGCAAAGCTAACGTGGCCAGTTTGACAAGCACACATTACATATTTGCAATACGCTGGGTGCCCCACCCACAGAGTAAGCAGAAGAAGGCCCAATCCCCTTGCCATGTCACTCAGTCCCGGCCTGCCTCGCTGGCCCTTCTCGCTACTGTCCACAGCACGTTCCCTGGCCTCCCCACACCGAACCTCTCCAGGTATATCCCACACTTTCCCGCTCCGGGGCCCTTTCTCCTCCACCTTCTCTGCCTACAGGCAGCCCGTGTGTCTTGCCTCTGCTTGTCGCACACCCGACTCAGGTGGCACTCCTTTGGAAACTGTCAAGCCTCCCGCTGGCCCCAGGGACCCCCTAGGGCACCTGGTCTCTACTTGTCCTACTGCACTCATGGGCTCTCCCCGTGAGGGCTCACACTGGACCAGGCATGTGAACGCCCCCTGCCCGCAGGCACTCGATAAACGCTCCTCACTAGAGAAATGACAATGTGTGTAGAAATAGTTCTGTAATTAAGTAGGAGGGACCAGGATGCTCAACAGCCATAACTAAAAACTGGTAATACAAAAATAGAACCTGGCAGGTACCTGCAAACCAGCCTGTTTTTCACTCATCGTCATCGTGGATGGAGATCTTTCAATGCCCGAGGTATTTTGTATTCCTTATAATAACCCAATTAAGTTGGTACAGTGATTATCTCCTTCTTTTTTTTAAACTATGCCATTTTTTAAAGATTTATTTATTTATTTTCAGGAGGGAAGGGAGGGAGATAGAGAGAGAGAGAGAGAAACATCAATGTGCGGTTACTGGGGGTCATGGCCTATAACCCAGACATATACCCTGACTGGGAATCAAACCTGCGACACTTTGGTTCGCAGCCTGTGCTCAATCCACTGAGCTGCGCCAGCCAGGGTTGATTATCTCCTTCTTGTAGGAGATGGAACTTGAGCTCAGAGTGGTCAGTTAACTTCCCCAAGAAGAGACGCTCAGTAAGTATTGGAGCTAAGACTCAACCCAGGTTCCTGTAAGCAAGGCTGTTGCTTTCTCCCATCACCGTTCCCTAACACAGCAGTTCCAGGCCAGGAAGGTTGTTAAACACTCCAATGCATGGGACAGGTCCCCACAGCAAATCATTATCTGGTCCAAATGTCAACAGTGTCAAAGCTGGGAAACCTGCTTGAGCAGACCATGAAAAAAGAAAGTCCCATTAAATGGGGGGAAGAGCACTCACCTTTCAGGGTCAGACACGGTGTTATCTGCTACCATTGCCTTTAAAACATCGGCATTTGCTAAGGGGAAAAAACATAAAGAATTAAAATAGCATGAGAAAGATGAGTAATCACAGAATCATCACATCAGAGAAGCTGTTGGAGAAAACACCTGATTGCATTCCTTCAGTTCATAGAGGAGGCCCTGGGGTCCCGGGGAAGGGAGGGTCTTTCCCAAGGCAGCCTCACAGTATGGCGCCAGCTGCCAATAACTTGTGCCAGGCAGGAGTTCAGTACTGAGTGGCAGAGAATCCACACAGAGGAAAGCAGGTCCGACACGGAGCTCTGCTTCCTGCACATCATTCCACTGTGACATTGGAAACACTTCTTCCTCCTCTCAAATGCTCCAAGGCATTCAGCTCACTTGACTAAGTGTGTAATAAAAGCTATGTCTTAAGAGACTTGGATGCCAATGATATTTCTGTGTGCCCAAGTAATAACCTCCACACTCTGGATACCCATGTGGTATCAAGTACATCCCACATGTAATATTCCATGTGGGCTATTTGGCTTCCCTATGCTTCCTGGCCACACAGGACCTTAACTCAGGCCAGATGATTTAAGATTCCAAGGGTTGGTCACACATACAAGTTACCTAATATGGATCCAGTTAAATCATACTCCTAATGGTTTTTTTTAACCTATTTTGTATATGGCTATCAACAAAAGCAAACTGAATCTAAGCTTCTGGGGTCCCCACCGCAGCCACACTCACAGGATACTGTTCTCTCGCCTCTTCCAGAGCAAGTGGCCATCCTCCCAAGGATAAAAGACGGAAGGGGATGTTTAAGTTTCTCTTGGATACTTAACTGGCAAGGCCACACATTATGACTGAGTCCTAGCCTTTCCAGTGATTTTAAAGCACTGTTCTCATGATGAGCCAGAACAAATGCTCTAGGGGTAAAAGAATAAAAAGTCACCATTCACCACCTGAGCTAACAATACCAACACTTAATGGTTAACACCTCGAATGACCCCCGCTACCGGGGAAAATTTACTCTGGTTCCAACTGCTTTTACACATTAACAGCGAAGGGTTTAGACGGTGTTTCTCAACTTTTTTTTTCCACTGTTGCCTCACCTGAGAATCTTTTCTGACATTTTTTCCCTAGTCACCTTCCCATGAAATTACAGCACTACAGATATCCCTTTTAATGTACTATATGTATAGCTGTGTTTTATATACAAATATTAAGCTTTTTGCCCCTACAATCTAATTTTCACCCCATCAGAACCCTTGCGAATGCATGGGTTTTTAAAAACTTTGTATGTATTAACACAACATACCATTCTTTTCTACAAGAAACATTTTTTTTGCCCTTCATGACTATCTGTGAGGATGTCTAATGCATTCCAAACACAGTTTTGCTCTAAATAAGTCTCCTGTCCTGACAAAAAAAAGTCCTAAACTAGATCATCGGTATCTTCTCCCACACGTTGACAAAGATGGCACGTTACCCTCTGAGAGACAAATTTAAGTATATTTTAGTGATGTCACTCATTTTACCCTTTGACTAATATTAAAGATTCAGAAAAACAATTTTCTTTCCAATAAAGTGTAGTGAATACACTATAATTTGCCAGTTGACACTTCTCCTCTGCCATAATTCACCAAACTTAAACTATAAACAGAAAAGAGGAAAAACCACCACAAAAAAGGTATGAAGACAAAAGTAGCACTAATAGCACTCACTTATAAGAATGAGGTTTTCAGAACAAAAGTTTAAATAGTCTCCTGAGAAAATGAATCACCTGTATAATGATAACCTTCTTTAAAAACATGAAATTACTTTTTATAGATTTGTGTTGTGGAGTACATGTACTCATGTACTCCAGTACCTCACCCTTAACTCCTAGAAATAATTAAGAAAGAGCCTCTCTGTTTACCACGAGTGAAATCTTTCAGAGTAGACACAAGCTTCTGTGCAAAATCATCCACACCCAGCCCGTCTGAGGAGGTCTGGTGTGTGGGATGAACACACACACACACACACACGCACACACGCTCTCTCTCTCCTGTCTCTAGTCTAACTTCTAGTCTATACCACGCAGTAAAGTTCAGCAATCTGTGCCTTAGAAACATTTTTGGTTTCCTGTGATGAGGAAACTTTCTAATGCCACCACTAGGACTTGCACACATGATTTAGTTTGGTTGTAAAATTACTATGAAAGAGCAATAATCTAATTAAATCCTGTTAAATATACCTCTCCTCCTTGCACAATACTCACAACCCCGACGAGCCACAAAGGATGGCTATTCCTAGACTTGCTGACATTCTGTCTGTCACCCCAGCCCCCCTTCATGGGCCTCCAGAGAGCAGGGGGAGTGCGTTACCGGGAAGAGAAAGCCAGTCGAGAACATGGGGAAATTTTCTCATGGACAGTAATTTCCAGGAAAATCTCCCTCTCCTCTTTCCTGACTTCCTGCCTGATAATATGCATAAAGCAATCAAAATCAGGCAAGAAAAAAAAAGCCCTGTTTTCTCTCCCACCACTATTCTCTACAAAGTGTTTCCTTACAATCAAGGCAGATTTCTCAAACAAGAACTACTGCAGCCATCAGCGAAGTCAGAGCGCCTGGATGTGCCCGGCACTGGCCGGAAGCTTTCCAGACCTCACCACATGGGACCTCCCGACAATGCCAGCAGCAGGTAGAATTGTGACCCCCGTTTTATAAATACTGAGACTAAAGCCTGAAGGCTATCACTGGCTGGCCAGAGTCACTCAGGTAGTGAGTGACAGACGTGGACACAACCCTGGTCTCTGGCTCTATTTCACCCTGATGTTCTTCCTACTCCTCCAGGTCTCCACCCCAATGAGTAATAGTTCAGTAGTGGACAGGGTGTTTACAGAATCGTTACAGCAAATTCCAGAGGCCTAGGAGAGTTTATAAAGGAATCCCTTTTGCCATAACACACATTGCAGTAAGAACTTCCTACGGAGATCCCTCTGCCTGGTGTGAATAACCAGGGGCACCTGAAGAACAACTGTGATGCTCTTATTACTACAGCAGATGGTGGAAGGGCCTGGAAGGGAAGGGTAGCTATGGAGTTGCAGATATTTTCCAAACTCCATACAATGTAAAAAAAAAAAAAAGCAAACAAACAAACAAACAAAAACAATGAACTTGCAAACACTCATCAATTCAGCTTCACTTAGAAAAAAAATTAAAGGTAGCACTGTAGTTAGTCCAAGACCTGAGATTAGGAGGCAAATAATCAGTGCTCAGGTCAGCTAATAAATTCATCCTTCCAGAGATGCTTATCTAAACTAACCTGATTTGCAACACTCAAGACATGTTATGTTTAAACCATAAACATCAGACTGTTGCCATGAGTACAGGTGAAATATGACCCTGTGAGCCAAATTAAAAATGCAAAGCAGCAGACTAGTCATACATCACAATTGCAAATGTTTTAAAATATGTAAATATAGACAAAGAAACCTAAAAAACATGGGAAAATGGTAATGTATGAGTTGTCCTTAATTTTATTCCTTTTTTTCCATTTAAAAGGTTATATTATGGTGTTCTTATAATTAAAAAGAATTATAACATTAAATTAACACCAACAGGGAGGTCTAAACTGATAGCAAGTTCAATGTCTCTTAAGGACAGAGATAAAGGAAAAGTTATTAGATTTGTTCTATAGAATATTTACATCTCAAAGGCAAACTGAAAAAGCTAGGTCATAAGTGGTAAGACACCCGGGTATGTAACCGATCTACCCAGCTGTGGTTTGGGCGCAGGCTGGAAGCCAGAGCGGGCCACAGCTGGAAAAGGGATGTGCGGGGAGCAGATGTCTCCTGGTGGCCAAGGAGGACCAAGGGCTACACAAAGGATCAGAATCCCCATCCTTGCTCACAAGTCCCCAGCCAATCCCAGGCAGACAGATGGAGGCACAGACAGAAGAAGAGAGTAAAGAATCAGACAGAACGGAGCAGAGGAGAAAGAGGGGACACAGCGCCTATTATCGCTCTAACAGGCCTACTGGGAATCAGCGCAGCTGAAACACAAAGGCTGCTCTCCAACAGGGAAAAGATATGATTAAAAAAGAGAAGAACAGGCCTATTTGCCCATGAGTGTGGGAGGTGCGGAAATTATATAGGATGCTTGCTTCAGGGACCCAAGTGCTCCCTGGCGGTGCTGGCACCGTCCTGCCACACACTGGCTGTGAGACCTTGGGCAAGTTTCTGACCCGCTGGGCCTCGGCTGCCCCATCTGCAAAATGAGGTGGTAACAGGGCCTGCCTCATAAGGCCGTTCTGAGAATTTAATGTGTTAATGTTTCTAGAGTTTTATAAACTACCCCAGCTGTATACTTTAACCCCTGGAAGGAGGAAGTTTACCATCCCTCTCTCCCGCTCCACAAAAGCAGCGGTAACCCCAGGTGATGAAATGTGAGCTCAGGAGTCAGGTGCTAGAGCCCCTGTCTCAGCTCCCCTCTTGTCAGCAAGTTAGTTAAGCAGCGTGGGCCTCAGTCTCTCAACTGTAAAATGGGAAGGATGCATCTGAATCATAGGGTTGTGAGTCCCTGCAAAGCCCTCAGAACACCCCAACACCTAGCAAACACTCAGGGCTCACCGTGAACTTATACCTAAGCATTCAGCCCCTGGCAAAGCCTCCACAGGTGACCTCCTTTGCTCGATTCAGCCCCTCATCCAGCTCTCTCTAACTTAGGAGCTGCTCAGCTCTCAGAAGCCCAGGTCCCAAAGGCCACCAAGCTTCCCAGAGCCATGGGAGGCAGCTGGGAAGTGCAGGCCCGGGAGCAACGAAGGACCGTCCCCACCTTACTCTGTGCACTCTGTCAAGGCTGGAGCTCCTCCGCCAAGCGCGTATTTGTGCATTGCTTGTGCAAATTAAAAACCACTTTTCTCCATGAAAGAAGCAAGCTCAAAAAGAGCATCGTCAAATATTGCTCCCTAAAGGAAGATCTCTGGAAGACAAATCAAAATCCAAGTGTTCTGAGGTTTTTGTTCTTATTTTAAAAACTGCTCTATTAAGTTCAGTTATCGGGTTTTACATCCTGTAGAAACTAAAAGTTACAAAGTAGAAGAAAGCAGAGGCCACATGGTTCATTTGAGAGCAGCCCAGAGAGAACGCAGCTGCTCACCAACCACGTGAACTCAACACCTGGAGCCTTTGTTTCTTCCTCTCGGAGATGGAGATAACACTAAGTGTAGAGATAGTTTGAGGATTCAATGAAATTATGTACATGAAGCACCTAGATCTATGCCAGATACATAAAGTACACTGTGGAAAGAACAATAAAAATTATGCTGAACCCTATGAAATGGCTGTTTCTCCAAGTCAAAAAAGTGGGCCAACAGCCTGGGCCAGGCGGATGCTCTTGTTGATAGTGAGGATAAGGGGGTGGCAACCCCCAGGGAAGGGCCAGGGCAGAAGAGCAGGCCTGTACTGAGCAATCCCGAGGTATTTCAGCTTCTGGACAAACGGCTCTGTTGCCTCAGTGCACACCACGTGAGTAAGCACTGACAAGCAAAGACAGTGCCCAAGGAAAACATTTTCTTTTCAATTCTCATGAGAACTCAAAGTATCTGCAGCAATCGGGTATGTGGGCCAGGAGCCGCACAAACCCCAAAAGTCACTGCGGGCCCGAAATCACCCTATGGTGACAATAACCAGTGTTCAGAGCGATGACCGTAATGCTTCTAATCCAGATTAAATGAACCCTCTGTTAAGAAGACGGGGAGTTTAGAATACATTTCAGAGGGCGGAAATGCTTAAATCGATAAAGGTTAAACTTCTGAAAAGTTTCTACATGTAAGCGTGGGTCATGGGACACACAACTCCATGGAGACAGAAAGCAGAGTGGCGGCGGCCAGCGGACGGTCGGGGGCAGGGACGGAGATCGGGCAGTGACTGCCTAAAGGGCCCAGAGTTCCAGCTGGGGATGCCGACAACGTTCTAGAGCCAGCGAGTGGGACCTTTGTACAACACTGTGAATGTCCTTAAGGCCAAAGAGTCATGCACGTTACAGTGGATAGAACAGTAAATTCCACATTGTGTGTATTTTACCATCACTTTTTTAAAGCGCAACAAAGGAACAGATGCTATCTGAGAGCCATCCTACTAAGCACCTTGTGTTCAGTACGTCACAACAGCGCGATGGGATAGATGATATTATCATCACTTCATTTCACAGGCGAGGAGCTGAAGTAATGCGACTTTCCCCAAACTGAGGCCAGGCCAGGATTCGAAGGCAAGCTGTCACCTCCAGGGCTGACTCCGCACCCCTCAGACTGACAGACCCTTAGAAAACTCACTGGTTTGAAACACCCATGGTGGGACAAGGCTGGAAGCGGAGCTAGGTAACAGGTGCTACCGATCACTTCAGAAAATCGACAGGAGAGCCCATACAAACCCTGACTCTCCCAAGCAGGTTGCTAATAAGACCTATGAAGAGTGAACTGTTCTGGAACACTAAAACAGCCATACCTTCATTTTTCATGATGTAGTGGACAATTTGCCCAACGGTGTCGCTGTTTTCATTTATGCTGTCATTCAACTCTGAAAGAGAAAGGGGAGGGGTGGAGGGGTTACATGTGGGCACCTGCATCAAGTCAATGAGACATTAGTTTCAGAGCCCAAGACCTCACTGAACAGTCTCCAGAAAACTCAGCCAGTCGCCCCTCCTGCTAAGAAACCCAGCTTCCTTCCTTCAGCCTTCAGCCCCAAACTGCCTGGTGCACAGCCCAGCCCGTGTGACGTCCTTGCCCCAACAGACACAGAAAGTGTCAGCGCTGTCCATCCGTCTCTTCTCAAGTCCCAACACCGCACACTCCCCAAGACTCAGTCCATAGCCCTAATATCTCTCTCAGCACTTCATTAGACCTTTGGGGGTAATGGGAGAAAGCTACTTGAAAGAAAAAAATTCTTCTTGAACTATTTTAATTGCAGATGAATTATATAAACACAGTATTAATTTCTTTTTTAAATTGGGTAACATAATACTCATCCATGTTTAAAAGGCTCCCTTTTAAATATCTCCCCATAGGATCTAAATTTTGGCCATGGTTATTTGCTCACAGAGTCCGTTTACTTTGGGAGACTCTGTATACATGGTAGTCTTTGAAAAAAAAATAATTATACCCGTACTCTGAAACCTGTCTGTATAATTTGTTTCAGTCAAACAAGAAGGGCCCTGAATGGTGTGGCTCAGTGGGCTGGGTATCATCTTGCAGCCCAAAAGGTCACCGGTTCAACTCCTGGTCAGGGCACATACCTGGGTTGTGGGCCAGGTCCTTGGCTAGGGGTGTGCAAGAGACATCCAATCAATGTTTCTCTAAACATCGATGTTTCTCTTCCTCTCTTTCTTCCTTCCTCCCCCTCTCTCTTAAATAAATAAGTAGATAAATTAAAAAAAAAAAAACAAAGAAAGAGGGAGGGTTGAAACACTCCATCCTAGTTCACAGAGAAGGAATCAAGGTGTGTGATGTTCTACCGGTGTATCTGGAAAAGTGTCTTCTCCATCACAGATGTTTCCTCCTCCGTGAACATGCGTGTTTGCTCGGACAGTGCAAATGCTGACTGCTAAACCAACCTACAGAGTCTAGAAAGGAGAGGGGGAGGCTCCACTTTCTGTTGACAAACACTCAGCTTTGGTTTGCTCATAAGCTGCACATGACTCATCCTGCAACCGTGTTCTCTCTCTGCCTCAAAGGTCAGTGGGGGTGGGAAAAGCCAACAAGCCAGAAAGCTGGCAAGATGAGGAAGCTCCCTCCACTCCACTCTTGGAGTTGGCTTGAAGGGTGACCTACTTATGCCAAATGTCACCTTCTGCAAGAACTGCTCTTTGAGAAGCTGAAAGGGATATGGAGAGGTATCTACAACTCCCCAAGACCCAAGTCACGATGGTTACAAAGAACATGCATGGAGAAAACAGAATGTCATCTCTTAGGTTTTTCGAAACACTATCCAACAACCTCATGTTCACAGTAAAAAGTGAATCATCCTAAAGTTATTACTAAGGCAGTTTTTTGCCATCCTTAGACTGCACTGTTCACAAATCATTAATTTAAAAAACATCAGCTCCAATCTCACAGATGTAAGGAGAACTCCCTTAGCAAAAGTCATAGCCTCATAATGGTGAGATCTATTGACTTTTCCCATCATTTTAATTAGAATATAATTCAATAATAGTAGTAAAAATTGATATTTACTGAGTGACCATCTATGCCAAACATTACATATATCTTCTCTCTAAATTTCATAGTAATCCGATGAGGTAGAGATTACTATACTCATATAAATGAAGTAAAAATTTAATTAAATCAGCATTAAGTTAATTAAAATAAAATTTCAGTTAAATTATACATAGCAGAGATTCAAAGTACATGTAACTTGCCCAGGGTCCCCAGGCAAGTAAGACTAATTACCTGGTAGGTATTTAATAAGTGAAAGCCAGGCTTCAGACACTAGGTGTGGTACCGTGCAATCCATACTGACCCTCTACCACACCACCTGCTGTTAACATGGATCATTTTGTTTCACAGAGATGGAAAATATATATATGACTGGTTTCTTATTTAAAAATCATCCCCACTCACACTCTCATAAAAAGAATCCAGCCCTGGCTGGTGTGGCTCAGTGGACTGAGTGCCAGCCTGTGAACCGAAAGGTTAATGGTTCGATCCCCAGTCAGGGCACATGCCTGGGTTGCAGGGCAGGTCCCCATTTGGGGGCATGAGAGAGGCAACCAATCGCTGTTTCTCTCACACATCATGTGCCCCGCCTCTTTCTTCCTCCTTTCCCCTCTCTCTAAAAATAAATAAATAAAATCTTAAATAATAATAGAAAAGTAGACACGAGACCCTTTAAGAGACAAAGAATCTAGATTACTCACCTATCTTCTCAACTTTTTCCTCTTCCACATCTTGCTCGGCTTCTGTCGTGCAACGATAGCCTTTCTTCTTAAGCAGGTGGCAGATGAGGACACCAAAGAGACCCATGATGAAGAACACAGGGACAAGCGCATACGCAATATACTCGGGGTGTCCGCTCTTAGTGTTGTCCGTGGGCGACGCTGTCGTCTCTGCTCTGGAGTGCAGTGTGCGGCTGCCACCATGGTCTGTGGAAGAAACATGCATGGCGGCCTTAGATGTCTGCGGGAAGCACGGAAAACCCAACAACCCGGGGAAATGTTCACGTCACATCCCAGTCTGCTCCCCAACCCACGGGCCGCGCAGACGCTGGTGGGTCTGGAAGTTCAGGCCCACACAGGGAAAGCCCAGGTTTGTCTGGGCTAACAGTGCCATCCTGTCCCTGCTACTCATTAACTGCGTCCCAACCTGGATAATTTTTTTAAAACTTCTCCAAAGCCATCCTATGCTCCTTCGGCATGGAATAGAAGTAGTAAAGTGTCCAGCACAGAGTAAACACATAATCACTGAGTAGCATCAGTAGCACAGACTCAGAAGACATGGATTCAAGTTCTGATCCCACCTCTTAGCAGCTGTGTGACACTGAACAATGACAAAAACGATGCCTCGGTTTCAGTGTGAAATAGGCATATTAACAGCACCTACCCACCCTCCCAGGGTTGTCATGAACAGGAAATAAATTAATACACGCAAAACATTTAGAACCATTTCTGTAACAAAGTAAATGCCATTGGACGCACTTGTGATATGTCACTGGGCAAGAAGAACAAGGAACCTTGTTTCAGGGAGCTTCCTAGGAGGATTTAGTCAACTGGCAGATGTAGAGGAAGAAAAACGGGAAAGTCCAGGATGGCATTGAGATTTTGACCCAGGGGTGCAAAGGCATAACAATGAAAGCACATGCACTTGTTTATTCATTCAGTGATCCAAATGGAGATTATGGCATGCCCTTTACTCGAAAAGCTCCATGCTGGGAGCTGGAGAGAGAGAGTGATAAATAAATAACATAACTTGGGCAGTGCCATCTCGGGACTTGTCGGGTAGTGGCAGAAACAGTCACTAAACAAGTCCACATGTGGGCAGATCATGACAGAGTGGGAGAAATGCTGTGGAAGATACACATGGGGCACCAGGAGGAAGAATGACAGCGGTGACCTGTACAATGACTTCAGAAAAGGGCAGCTGAGAAGGGGGCATCTTTTGGAGAAAAAGAATAAATTTGCCTTTACACATAACAAAGCATCTCATGGACATACACCAGAGGCAGTCGGATATCTGAGCAGGCCAATGGGATGCAAGTTAGGCTCCTACCTAGGAAACTAAGTAACCTAGGTAAGATATAGCCAATTAAGAAAACAGAGAAGAGCCCTGGCTGGTGTGGCTCAGTGGATTGAGTGCTGGCCTGCTAACCAAAGGGTGGCTGGTTTGATTCCCAATCAGGGCACATGCCTGGGTTGTGGGCCAGGCCCCCAGTAAGGGTTGGGTGAGAGGCAACCACACATTGATGTTTCTCTCCCTCTCTCCCTCTCTTCCCCTCTAAAAATAAATAAATAAATCCTTAAAAAACATAACATAACAGAGAAAGAACTGACTATGTAGAAAATCAGCAAAGTATCAGTTCACAGATACAAAATGCGGAGAGCGTCAGGTAGGATGAGAACTAAAGAAAAATATAGGCTTTGATTGAAATGAAGTCTCATTATCTGTAATACTCAGAGGATGAAGTGATAAAAATGAGGTTTTCTACATCAAAAAGATTCATACATCTTGCTTAAGAAACCCAGACATTAGAAAGCTAGAGACATTTAATTCCAAGCCCTCTTGAGAGTATTTTGGTGAAAAAGAATCTGTACTGTAAGGATTACATGGAGGACAGAATCTGGTGTGGAATTACCACATTTTATCACTGTGGCAAACAGTATCACACAGCAGCCTAATTTGCAAACCAGGGGGCATAGAACAAAGGGCTATCTCTCTCTCACACAAAGAACTACCCATTATCTTTGAACTTGAACATGAAAGGAAATTGCTGGTTTCCTAGGTTTGTATATAGCTGCATTCATTATCAGGCAACCTCTAGAATTTCAGATAACCGATATATTTTTAACCTGTATTTTCAACCTATATTTTTTTTCTGATTTCTCTTCTAAGAATCAAAAGAATTATAATTCTACATAAGTTTTATGTATTGATTCCTTTTCACTGACACTCATTCCACACACTAGGCGTAGGTGAAGCAGGCAGCTTGCTAACACTGGGAGGATCTTATTCAGGGTCACACTCTGTTTCAATCTGGAAGTGAGGACAAAGGCCTGGGGAGCAGGAGGAAGCAGGGACAAAAGCAGAGGTGCTGAGGAGTGGAGCCAAACAGCCCCTCCTGAATCAGCTGGTTGAGGATGGGTCTTCATCGCTAATTTGTCATCTAGTGAACCCTTGCAGATACTACATATTTACAGTGCTTGTGACAAACGTGGGTCAGTCATAATATCAAAATTATTCTACCATGAAAAAACTGGAGAAGACATACACCTAAATGAGCGAAATATGAATTACAGAGAGATGTAATAGAGGCACTGAGGTTGCAAGGTCAAGACTGCTTGGCATAAATAACAACTTGGCCACTGACTGGGCTTGTCACCTCGGACAAGTTATTTAAATGCTCTGTGTTCTATTCCCTTATATGTAAAATGGAGTCAAAATGACTGTACCTTTCTATGATGATTGTATTCTTTTTAAGATTTTATTCACTTTTTTTAGAGAGGGGGAAGGAAGGAAGAGAGGAAGACAAACATTGATGTGCGAGAGAAGCATAGGTCGGTTGCCTTTTACATGCCCCCAACTGGGGACCTGGCCTGCAACCCGAGCATGTGCCATGACTGAGAATTGAACCAGCGACCTTTTGGTTCACAGGCCCATGCTCAATCCACTGAGCCACACCAGCCAGGGCCTTTCTATGATGATTTTAAAACATGGCTCCATTGTTAGATACAGCTCCCATGGAGACGTAGGGTCTGTATCTCCTCCTCTTGAATATATACTGTGTGTTGCCTGACCAATAGAATATGTCGGAAGTGATCCTTTGTCAGTTTCGGTCATCAATTTGCCAATCAGGTACTTGAGCCATCTTAGAAGGAGATCTTATAGCCCCAGCTGATGCTCTATGGAACAAAGATAAGCTGTTTCTGATGAAACCAGCCCAAATTATAGACTCCTAAGCAAAATAAGTGATCGCCATTGTGTTAAGCCACTAAGCTTAAGGGTAATGTGTTCTAAAGCACTAGTAACTGGAAGACTACCTCATGGAGTCATTGTGAGGATTAAATATATTAATAAGGTAAGCACTTAGAATAGTGTGTAGGAAAAGGCAGAGCACTATGAAAGTGTTTAGTCATTGTCTTGATAGAATGGAACTATCCAATATGGTAACCACCAGCCACAAATAGTTATTTAAACTTAACTAAAATCAGATATAATTAAAAATTCAGTTTCTTGTTTACACTAACCACATTTCAAGTGTTTGATAGTCTATGTGGCTAATTGGCTACCATAGGCGACAGATCAGATGAAGAATATTTCCATCCACTCAAAAGTTCTATTGGACAGCCCATTATAGATGATATATAAAGAATCACTAAAAAGCAAAATGTTGACTAGAGAACTACCGTGATCTACCTCAGCAATTCAATGAAGAATAAATTTTAAATTGCAAAGTATCTGTATTTTGCCATGTATAACATACACTTTTTTGCCCAAATTTTTGAGGGAAAAATAAGGGTGTGCATTATACATGAGTAATTATGATATATAATAGGCATTGTAAATGGTCCGAAAACGTGGGCGCACATTATACACGGCAAAACGCTGTAACTAGCCACAGATAATGCCTCAGTCATTCGTTAACTTAGAGAAGTTTAGCTTTCCTTCAGTTCACACTCATGATTTGCTTAAAGACACTGTGTCTACCGTTCTCCTTCACCCCCAACTGAATCATGCCTGAACTATGAACAAATTCATTATTTGAGTACAAATTAATAGCAAAGGTTGTTGCAGCATTATTTATAAAAGTCAAAAATGGCAGTACCTTCATGTTTGACAATGGAATTACAAGAATATCTAAGTCAATCATAGTCTACCATTAAAATGGTGCAAAAATGCACCGTTTAAACCTACTTGTGAAGGTGGTGGGAAGATATGGGGAAACACGTGAGATCAAATGTTGAATTCTGTAAGTTAGGCTCAAAATCTCACATACAGTATGACCTAACTAGTTAAAAAAAATACTTAAAGGTATTAAATATACAAAAAAATAACTAAAATATTAAGTGATTCTGGGTATTCGAATAATAGGAAATTTTACATTTTAATTGTATACTTTTCTGTAGTTTTCTATAATTTGTACAAATGTATTACTTTTGTACCAAGGTGGTCGACATGTAAAAAAAGAAGATATACAGATGAAGTTGTCAGACCTTTGGGAGTAAATGTCTTTACCTTTTTGTAAACCTATTGGAGGCTATGGTCCCTATTCCAAAATTTTGCTTCCAATTCTTGTGAGCTCTGAACCCCAGTTAATGTAAGGGCACGACGATAAAGACGATGCCCACACTTCTGCCTGAGCACAGTGGACATTGGTTCCATTCACTGAGATGAGCAACATCTGGAAAAAAGTTTGCTTGGTGTCCTAGGCTGAATTTTACGTCCCTCCCACTTCGCATGTTGAAGTCCGAATCCCAAGCATCTTGGAATGTGACCTCATTAGGAGATAGGATCTTTACCATGGTAATCAAGTCAAAATGAGGTCACTACAGTGGACCCTAATTCCATATGATTGGTGTCATTATAAAAAGGAGAAATTTGAGACAGACATCCACACAGGGAAAAACACCACATGAACATAAAGGACAGAAATCAGGGTGATACTTCTACAAGCCAAAAAATGCCAAAGATTGCCCGCAGACCATGAAAGGCTAGGAGAGAGGCATGAAAGAGATCCCTCCTCACAGCCCTCACAAGGAAACAACTCTGCCAGCCCTGATCTTGGATTTCTAGCCTCCAGAACTGAGACAATACATTTCTCTATTTTAAGCCACCCACTCTCTAGTACTTTGTTACAGCAGCTCTAGCAAACTAATATGCTTGGCATGGAGAAGACGGTATCACGAGTTCAGTTTTGGGCATGTGGAGATAG